TAGTTTCTTATTATTTTATAATATTTTATCAAAAAATATACATAATTATTCTAAGATAATATCTTAATAATATTTATTTTATAAATTTTTATTTTTATATACTCAATTTTGAAATTTTAAAAAACCTTTAATTTATCAAAAAATTTCAAACATTAAATAAAATTATGATAATTATAACAAAAAATTTTCAAATATAATGAACCTAAAATCTGACCAAATGAACACATTATTTATTGGACTTATATAATATTTAATACTTATTCGTTATTTTGTAATTAGTACATTAATGACGCATTAATCTAAAGAGAGATGACTTAATTATGACGTAATTTTATGACAGTTCTTATAACTAATAAATTTGAATAAAAATGAACGCCACATGTGTAATATTTTAATTAATTAATAAAAAATTATTGTTTAAAATATTTAAATATAACGTAATTATTTTAACTCTTTTCATTGAAAAGGAAAATTAAATATTTAAAAAAAATATAAAATATTAAAAATTAATTCATTACAAGTGTTAAATTTTAAACACTGATATGATTCGTATCAGAAACACAGATAGATAATTTCAATAAATTTTAAAAGAAATAATCTCATTTTTTTATTTAATTAAATAAATAGTAAGTAATTTATTTTATAAGGAAGACATTATAGACTCGAATATTTTATAAATATATAAATATAATAATCATAGCATTGGGGAAATTCAATTAATGTCCCCCAATACATTGCACATGCCCTTATTCCCACCTTATCACTTTCTTCTTTGGATCTGAATCACCCATTAAAAATGTACCCACAAAAAATTATAAAATAAAAAATAATACCCACAAAAAATATTACATAATTTTTTTAAAAAATATACATAATGATAGGGAATATCTTCATATATATATATATATATATATATATATATGTGAAAGAAAAAAATAGATGAAATTACAAAAAGTGAATTGGAGACAAAAATACACATGACAATTCAAAAAGGGTAAATTATTAATCAGACAAGCCATTGACAAAAAATATATATATATATATATAAACATAATATCTTCTATTATTTGCTTCTTGGTACCCCCCAAACAAATCTCTGAATATATTCCTCATATATATATATATATATATATATATATATAAAAGGTGTTTTTTATATATATGAAAAACCCCATGATACATTGATACATGTATGATACATTCAAAGCTCTCCAACTCATTTCCTTTAGAGCCAGTTTGCTTTTTCTTTTTTTGTGGTTCTTTTTCTTGCTTGCAATCAACTAAGTCTTGTTTGCTTGGAAAAAAAAAATCCCATTCAGCTTCTGTTCTTGCACTTCTCTACTGCTCTTGGAGCTGCAAAATACCAAACACATCTTATATATATATATATATATATATCAATTTTCACTATAAAAATTAAAACCCAAAAACTTTTTTTCGAATTATAAATCGGGTTATTGTAGAACACTTGATATTTATCGTATATAATGTTTAATTAAGAGAATGTTCGGTGCACGAGCAGTATAAAAGTTTAAATTTTTGGCACTAACCAAGTCCGATTGCTTCAGATCCTTTCATTATCCGTAGACGTTTGCAAGAGTCAACAAACATTCTATACTCAAAAAATAATTATAAATTAGTAAAATTATGAGAAAATTTAATTGAAATTAGGGATTGAAAGAAGTTAATTAGAGTGGAAATCAAAACACTTACATCCATGGGACATCTCCAACAAGCATCCAATCTCCATCTTTGTCTTCATAAGTTGGAACATACTCAGATCCATTGAGTAGATCTATCAATTTGCTCTCATTCATGAAATCCTTCATTCCTTGTGACCCACAATTACCTAAAAATAACCGTTACCCATTTAAAATACACGATTAGTTTAACTTAACTTTATAATTAAAGTCAATTAAGTAATTAATTAAGAATTTCGTAAAGTAACTAATTAAATTAATTACCAATTGTGAAGGAACTGAACATTTTGCCTAGGGCATCCGAGAGTTCTTGGTAGCTCTTGTACATTTTCAAATCTACTTTGCGTAGGTACGGTGCACCATCCATGCTAACTTTGATGAAAACATTATTATTATTGTTACTACCACTACCGCTGGCTTTTTCCGGTGCAGTCTCATCGGCAGAAGTCTTTTGAACGGCCATGATATTTTTTCGGAAGGAACGAACCGGTGGCCATCCCACAACTTGTGCCCTAAAGTCACATAACAAGTGATTAATTAATTTGAACATGAATTTTAAGCTTCTTAATTGATAAAAAAAAACAAGAAAGGAATGTTTCTCTAGTAATGAACTGAAGTTAATAACTTGGGCAGCCAAAGATTTTGAAAAAAAAAAAAAAAATTGTTTGCATTTAAAATAGCAAAAATTAGGTGGGCTAAATGTAGACTTTCTTAACTTATTGGCTTTGAATTTTAGTGTTCAGACTTAGAACTTTTGTTTGGTTACTGAGAAAACGAAAGAAAATTAAGAGAGAGAGAGAGAGAGAGAAAATTATGAGATTCCTTGTGTCTTGTTCTTTTCCTCTTTCGTCCCGACAACACATTGAAAAGCCATAATCATGTATTAGGACAAGATTCATTGAACAGACAACTCACAGCCAGAAAAAAAACATAATTAAACATGCTAATTATTATTATTTATTTTTAATTATCAAACCATTAATTTAATTTTCGTACTTCTTATTAAAAATAAATTTTTCATATCAAAATCTTGTTTATCAACATAATAAACTGTGAAATTATACATATATATATATATATAAATATTATTGATTAACAAAAAGGCTAAAGACAAAAGATTAGGTTTAGAAAAATGAGTGCTGATAAAAAGTTCATCTTATAAATAGTATAATTAGATCTCTATTAATATCAAGAGTATAAAATGGGAAATTCAATCAGATTTATTTTTCACTATCTAAATTCCATTAATTACTTACACGAGACTATATAATTTTTCTCCATATATAACCCAAGAACCCCTGGGTTCAATCTTGAAATATATCATGATAGTTGCTTGTATAACTACTTTAAAAGAACACCCACTTCATAATTAATCATAAAAAGCAAAGCCAGCATGAATTGATGGAATAAAACATGACAGAAGTCTACAAACTTTGATTCAATGAAGTGGTATGATGACTTACTTTGCAGGAGGCTTGGCGGAGTCATTAGGGCGGGCTGGAGCGACGTTCTTCTGCTTAGATTTTTCAGCTTCATCCTTGTTTGAGGAGTCTTTCATCGAAAGATTAAGCTTCAAATCAACAGTCTCTGAAAACCCTCGTTTACCATTATTCTTAACAGTCTCTCCTTCGCTTCCATTGCCACCAGGCAACCCGAGACGCAGTTCTGTCTCCTCGAAATTTATCAGAGTGTACTTGTCCCGCTCTGCACCCGTAGCAGTACCCATTTTGTATATATCTCTTTCTCTCTGTTTTCTTCAGAAGAAAAGGATATGTCCGGGTCTGGTTTTGCTTGGGTTTGGTAGAGAGAGAGAGAGAGAGAGAGAGAAGGAAAACCCTAAAAGGGAAAAGGTGAAGTTTTTGGAAGAAGGAAGGCGGAAACAATTTGCATGGGGGGATAATATAAAGGGTTTTGAGGAAATGTACCGTGGGGGATAATTTGGACGGATGAGATTTAACCACGTGGTGTTTGCGTTAGTTGGACGGTCCGAAGATTGTCGGGAAAATGATGTCATGAATGACGTCATATTTAGAATGATTATGGTGAAGCGAGCGGACAGGCCAACTTGGCATTGTTTGCCTTTTTCCTTAATTTCTTAGGCTCCACCAATTGCATTATGTAAATTAAAATAATAATAATAATAAGATTTTTTTAAAAAAAATTATTTATTTTTAATTGCTTAAAATTTAAATATTATATTAAATATATATTTTTTTTATTTCTTATTGCAATGTAACATATAAAAATTTTACATATAAACTAATTTGTAATTTAAAGAAAAAATAAAAATATAATATAAATAAATATATAAAAATTTAAATGAAAAGATAACATTTTTTTTTCTAAGTTAATTTAATATTGATTTTAAATTATGTTTTTTTTTAATTTTCTCAAATAAATAAAGTTATTTGTTATATTACATATACATATACATATACATATACATATACATATATATACATATATATATATATATATATATTGAGTGGATTGAAAGAAAATGGGCACCCATTAAAATCTTTTCAATCTACCATTTTGATTTTTGATTTATCCACTCTCCACTTCTTGTGGTTTACATTCAAAGCACCAACACAATTCATTATATTAATTAAAATTTTGCAGAAAAAAAATATGATGAAAAAATTAATTGCATTAAAATAATTTAATAAATAAAAATAAAATTTTGAATATAATTAGCAAAAAAAAATTATGACCCTATTCAATTAATTATGATTAAGTGAAGAAAATATGTGATTAAGATTAAAAAAATATCAATTAATAATAGTCTAATTAAACACTAATTTTTAATTAAAAAATAGATAATAAAATATTTAAATTACATCGCATGGTGGTCTTTGGTTTAATTATTGAACTTTGACCCACAAAACAATATTAAATAGTAAATTATTATTAAATAATTTTTGTATTAATAATCATATATTATATAAAATAATACAAAGTTTGTCGTCGGTCCATCCCCATAACACACTGCACAAAACTTGGTCCATCTAAAGAATCTTTATGCAAACATGTCTCAATTTTGTACATCACGGCAACATTTTTATTTATTATATATATATATATATATATATATATATATACATATACGTACACAACATATACATATATGTACGTGTATATGTATATATTATTTTAAATATCATGTGAATTATTAATTTATTTGCTTAAAAGAATAATTAAAAATATATATATATCTTAAGAGATGATGATGCCTTGCAAAATTTTCTCTTGGCTGTCGGAGATTCTCTTATACGTATTGAATCATTATGATATAAAATAATCTTTTTAAACTTATTATAATTTTTTTAATATAACAATATAATATGATGTCAAAATTCTCTTATTATATTATAAAATATAAATTATTAAATTATACAATTTAATTTCTATTTTTTTTTATAATTTACTTTTTAACGTTTTTAATTATTTTAATTATTTATAAAGTATTCTCTTTTTATGTTTTTATTTGTGGGTTAAATGTAATAAATAAATATTTTCATATTTCCGTAATTATTTATTATTTTATTTATATATAAATATATAAATTTTTGTTTTTAAATTTGTGAAAAATAAAAAGAAGGGGTTAGGATTAGTGCCACGTGTAAGTCAAAGGGTAGAGAAGCGTGGTGTTGACTGTGAAGTTTCGAGGAATGAACGGACGACAGGTAGGCATAGTGGAGCCCACAAGCAGAATGAGTTGGGAAAGTCAGCAGAGCCATGTGCTTTGATTCACGGCACTGGTGGATGGAGGAGAAGTTGCCCTTTTTAGGTGGGTCCCACCCACCAGGAATCTTTATATACACACATATATATATATATATATATATATATATATTTATATTTATATATTGGGTTACCCTACTTATCATGTGCCGTGTTTGGCTGTTCCATATAAGAATGGCAATATATATATATATGTATAACACACACAATTGTAAGCATAAATGTTTATACAACTATTGTGTATATACATATATATATTTTTATTTTCTTGATTGGTTGCTCCATGAAATAAATAATGAAGTAATTAAATATAAATATTTTTTATTGATTTGAAAAAATAAATAGACACCAATTAATCAAACAATTGTAAAGTTGATAGCTTTTTAATATCTTATGAATATAATAAATAAATATAAATCCTAAAATTAGTACAAAAAATTATATGTTTTGATGGGTAAGTTCCTCAAAACTATTGGGATAACATATACATATATATATATATATAGATATACAGAGTCTAAAATATCTTTCGAAATATATTGAGTTAGTGGGTATGTTAACTTAACTTCATATTGATATTATATGTTAGATATATATATATCTAGCCTGCCTGTAAAGTTTTATTCTAGTTCATTGATTCATTCTCTACCAATTGAATTGATATACACATATATGTATATGTATGTGTGTATACACACATATATATATATATATATATATATGTGTGTATATCCCAAAAAGGTATTTATTGTATTTGAAAGACAACAAAAAATGGGTAGTGGACAAAATTGATGGATAAGGATGATTATGTTACACAAACTTTAATAACTTTATTATTATCATCATCTATCAACATAATTAGGATTTAATAGTAATTATCAAAGTTAATTAAATAATGGCAAGTGAATGAGTATGTGTATATATATACTTATTTCACTTTTGTTTGTTTATATAGAAAAAAAAAATTCAAACATTATATTAATTGGGATTTTTATTATTATACATATATATATATATATGC